AATTTCAGTCATTATAAATTAGTGGATTAGTAGTTTTTTTAGTGAGTTAGTGATTATTTATTTTTTGTATCGTTTATTTATTTTTGTCCTATTTAAGCAGATTGATTTCATCAGTAAAAATCATTTGAGTTCAGTATAATGCTTCTATTACTATATTTCAACAATAAACACTTAATATTACGATAGCTACTAATGGTAGTAAAACATAAGTAGGTGGTAGTATGACATTCAATGACAATTTACAATCTATATTACCACTGTTTAATAATATTGCTCAAAATTCTATGAATACAAGTTAACAAAACAAAATTGTAAGTCATAAAAAAACATATATAATTTGAAATTCTTAAAGTGATTTCACTATTGTAAATAGATGAATTTGTATATGAATATAGAAGAGAGAAAATCACACATAAAAATTTTGTGATGCGTAGTGGATAAAGACTTGTAATCTAAAGTAGTGATGGAGAATGAGTACTTAGAAGCAAATTGATAAGAGAAACTACAGTACCAATTCATAAGATTAGTATTTTAGAGGTACACCCAAGTGAACAACACTATATTGGTCATGAGTGTAAAGACAACTAAGATGGTGGAGTATCTAATTAGCATGAAAAATTCTTCTAATTATATTCACCACCTCAACTAAATTAAAACATTTTGCTAGTAATAGAAAATGATGAGAAACATAGGATTTAAACGCAAATGAACATGACGCAATATAGCAACAAGTTCATTACATAAAACTTCACTTTTTGAAGGTATTTAAAGTTAGATAAGTCATTTTTCTTTAGTTCATGAAGTTCAATACAAATTTAAAATTATCAATATTCAAAGCTTGAACTAAAACATTCAAAACTTCATTAGAGTTAGTAAGTTTAATATTGTAATAGAAAACATCTTTAGTGAGAGGAGACAAAATCCAAAAGTGTAGTATGTGATTATTTCTTTAACAAAAATCTAGATTTGGAATTTTTGTCTCGAATTTGACGGTGATGGAATGGTTCATCAAGGTGTAGGGTTTGTGACATCAATAAATCTTAAAAAACTGATAACGAATGAGGGGAAGAAATTAACTCTTCTACAAAAATAATTTATATAAGTTAATTTAGTTAAAAAATAGAATTGGATAGAAATAAAGGAATTAGAGTTCACAATGTAAGCTGAACAAATGGGTCATCGATTACTGGTGTCATATTAAAGAGAGAGTTAACATGTTTATCTAAAAGTATGATATAATAAAATTAAAAAAAAAAAAATTAACGCGTCTTATGGTTGTCATGGAGTGAACCATGATAGTTTAAAGTACTATCATTTGGAGTAGAGTCATGTATTTAGGAAAATTTTCATAACTATATGAAATATCATGAATTAAAATATTGTTGTAAGTCTAAGGAGTAGATTGTAACACAAATAAGTTATATATCTAATTATAATATAACAAATAGTTTGGATTCTAAATAATAATTTAAACATAAATATATTGTCTCTAATTATTTTATAGACAAATTATCAAATTAATTCAAAAAATTTGGTACTTATTATAGTTTAGTTTTTAATATTTTTTCATTATGATTTGACCATGATATTTTCAATTAATTTCTTTCTTTTTTTTCTGATAAAAAATTTAAAATAATTATATATTTTTTAGATTTTTTTAAAAATAACTCAAGAGAATAGTTTCGACTAGTTGATTAGATTAGTAAATTGATAACAATATTAAACATGTTTTTATTATTATTAATTAATTAAATTTATTTTTTTGAATTATTTTTTAAAATGTTTGAATATGATATAACAATTTTAATTTTTTTTTGACAAAAAATAAAAAGAAACTGCAAATTTTTTTTTTAAATAGAAAATATTGTAAACTATTTCTAACAAAAAAAATATTTAAAATTAAATTATAACAAATATCAGATTCTTTATACTAATTTAATAATTTATCATTAATTTATTTATCAACCACTAAATACATTTCATACCAATTATAATGTAGACATCTCAAAAAGATTAAATAACGAACTGTTTTTTCTCTTAAATTTGACTATGTGAAAACCATCGAAAATAAGATTGTCAAATCTAAAAAAAAATAATGAAATTAAATTCAATAGACAAATAAATCTACATTATATGTACATACACATACAGTGTACATGTATGGTTGGGAGATTTGAAGGCAAATTTGCAAATCAAGAAAGAGAGTGGCATGTGAAAAGATAGACAATGTAAATGTCATGAGGGGTTTTGGTGTACCCAAAACAATGAGAACTTAATTTTAAAGCCATAAGTGGCATGATCAAAGCTCCCTCATGTAGCCCACCACGATTGGACACAAATCGACACTATAAAATATCTCTATGACTGTCAAATCGAACTCTCACACTCTTATATTCATGTTGGTTTTATTTTATTTTATTTTTATTGTATTTAAATTTTAATTATTTAATGTCTAATAATTAATTTTATAATTTATAATCATAAATTTTTATTTCAAATTATATTTTTATGTTAAATCATGTGTAATATTTGATTTAATTTATAAAAATTAAGTTATTTAACGTATACAATGTTAATAAAATTATCTAATATAAAAACACCACGTAATTAAAGTTCAAAGATTTGTGAAAATTATATTTTTTTTGCATGTCCTAATTATATTGCACCAAAATTCATGTAGAAACTCGACTACAATTTCCACCAAAAGAAACTTTAGAAGAAAACTTACATTCGTGTGTAATTAATGATAGATAAGTTAATAGTTAAAAAAAAAATTATTAATAATTTATTTACTCTAAAAAAATAAATATTTGGTAAAAATTATTAAAAATAAAATGTTTTTATAATGAGTAAATAATTTCGTAAAATTCTATGAAAATATTGGGACTTGGAACTTGATTGAAAACTAGACATTGCCACTTAAAAGTTGTGTATTATGAATTTGGTAGTGGATGGTTATCCCAATAAACACCGGGCCTAATTTTTAAACGGAATAAGGTTATCTCAGTATCATTATCCAAACACGCCGTCTTCTTCGCCGATCCCGCGCCTATTCGAAGACGCCACGAACTTCACTCAGAAATTCAAACTCTGTCCATCTCTCTCTCTCTCTCCAAGTTGATCCTGAATGTCTAATCCTATCATCATCTCAGATGAAGAAGACCAGCATACACCTCTCCCATCCCGTTCCAAGAAACCTAAGACCCATGCGGACCTTGTTCCTACAATTTTGATCTCGGATGGTGACCCGACCCCTCAGAAACTGCTGGGCGCCGTTTCTACTCCTTCTTTCGTCCCTGATACTCCAATGTCCGATAATGTCTCCGTCTGCAAATCATCTTTTGATCCCGAAACGAGGGTTTCAAATCCCGAACACGATGACAAGTTATCTGGTTATTATTTTCCTGGATTCTTTAATATTCCTTGATTTGTTGAATTTAGGTTTTTTTGTTAAACTTTATTCTATCTGAATGATTACCGAAGTAATATGAAATTCTTTGGCTTTTTGGGAACTGAAAATGTGTTAAATTTTGCGAAGGGTCTCTGTTAGGTTTTTCTTTTATCCAATTACAGAAAATATTCTCTAATGGAAAATTCATATGTTTGTATATTTTCTATTTCGTTTGAAACTGATCGGCTTTGAGTTAGCATGAACAGTAGTAAGAAAGTTCGCTTTTATTTTTGTAGATTTTCAATTTTCTGTTTTTGTTGAGATATTTGGCCAGTGCTATACTATCATCTTCTTTCTGGTTTACCTTCTATCTATAAAATGTATTTTCTTGATTTTGCTCCAAAGTTTGTGTTTTTAATAGCAATTGCTGATACATATTCGATATACTCTTAGTTTAACTTTCGTTTGATGTTGTTGGCATTGTTTTTTGTCATTACTAGGAAAACGTGTGATATCTTTGGAGTCTGATGACGAATCTGAAAATGGAGCTGGAACAGGAAACTCGAAGAAGAATGGAGCTGTATTTACTGGATTTTCATCAGCTTCTACACTGATTGCACCCACTTCTTCTGTAGGTATTTCTTAAGGTTATATCTTGTCCCATTTTCTCTGTGATTGTGTGAGGCTTGACTTTCCCCTTTATTTCGAATATGCAAGTGATAGTCCCTTAATGAAATTTGTTATGTTTATAATAACTGAAATCAGAAAATATTCTAATCAGGGACTACGAATCTAATGACAGAGACTAGTTCTAATAAACCAACCTATTGGACAGATGATTTTGATCAGGTAATTTCTAAGGAGATTTTTTTATGATTTTATCTTCAATAAACTGTTTCAAGGTAATATATCATTATATTATGAGGGTTTAAATGCTTTTGCAGCAAGTTAATGATTTTATGTTTTGTTAACCTTGTCTATGTTTGCTTCTTTTCAACGAGAAAAAGGACTAGATAGCGATGCTCTGATACTCTGCTTCATAGAGTCCACCCTTGATATTGAAATGGTGGTGATAACCAATGGGAATGTTGCAGAATAAATTTATAAGTTCTCTCTTCTCCTAGTTTAACTAGGGCACAACTCGTTTTTAGTTCCTCCATTAACATGGTAAAATCATTCTCCCTATGTACCAGTGTCAATGATTTTCATAGGCCTGCAGCTTGCCTGTAAAATCTCTCCCCTAAGAAGCAACTCCCCCAGATTACTGGTGCATGTTCAAAATTTTCTGTTTCTGTGACAGGTGAACTGGGAGAGTTTTCTGCTTCTTCTCATCTATTAATAAGTATAACATGGATAGCAGTTTCGCTCAAGTGTGAGAGGGATTTCAGAACCTGGGGAATAGTTTGAAACCATTCTGCTGTTGTCCTCAATTTCAGCCCATTTTTTTATTTAATGTCATGAGTTGGCATCATGGTCTTGGCTGACTCGTCTTACTATGTTGCAACAGTGTTATTATCAGACAGTTTATTTCCTTAGAATTGTTCGTGTACTGCATGTCGGAGCTAGTTTTTTTGTTAGCACTTGGATGAAGATTTGATTGTGATCTTTTTTAATAATTCAATCTTCTTGGGGCTATTTTACTAGTAGTTTTTAGAATTTTATGTTCCCTGTTCAGAAATTATGGTAGTAGCATCTGGGTATTGCTGCAGTTGAATGTTGTTAATTATAGCCATTCAATTTACTGATAGATTTTAATGTTTTTTTGGACTCAATCAGGTAGCTGATGAACAAGAGACTGATATGTTTAGCATTCAAGAGATGACTAATATACCAAAACAGGGAATCAGAACTAAAGTTAAAAATAGTACTGGTCAAGTAATGGGAAAGAAGAAAATGACAAAGGAGGAGAGAATTCATGCAATAGAAGAAAAAAAGCGGCAGAAGGAAGTAATTACTTTGTTGATGTGACTCAGCTTTATTATATTATTAGTATTTGCTACCAATCAATAATTGATTAATGCACCTTATTTAGGCAGAGAAAATGCAAAAAGCAGCTTTGAAGGCAGAGGCTGCAGAGCGTAAAAAAATAGAGAAAGAGAAGCAAAAATGGGAGAAGGGAAAGTCTGCACTAAAATCTATAGTAGCTGAAATAGATACCAAAGTAGTTGAACTTGGGTCAATTGGAGGTAAGGGCTTTCACCACTTTTGTTCACTGGAGTTACTCATTTTGCTCTCCATAATTTATTATTTGCTGAGTGACTTTGCTTTATTAGCATAGGACATCTGCTTTCAAGGTTATCCGAGAAGGGCCTTACATTTCGTATAACATCAAATCCAATTCAAGGATCAATTATCTGGACCATGACAGTTCCAGAACATATTTCACAGGTAGTAGCTCGGAAGTGAATAAAGATGATATAGACTCTGATATGTTTTCCCTCCATGGTTTTACACTGATGCATTTACTAAAAGCAGCTTTTGCCATGTCATAAATTTCAGTGCTAATAATCTACCACATAGTGGAGATCTATTTATATTCACCTGTATTCATTAAAAATGCAGATCATTTCATGTCACATAGAACATGTTATTATTGTATTAATTTAACATATCAGAAAGGGAGTTTTGCCATCTT